TATATATATATATATATATATATATATATATATATATATATATATATATATATATATATATATATATATATATATATATATAAATGATTTATTTATTCTTTTGCATGTATATGTATATATATATATATATGTGTGTATATATAAAGAGTTCAGATGCAAAAACCTTAAAGTGCCAGCTGAAATTTCCATAGAAAATTAGCATTATTTTTGGACTCCTTTGTTTATGTTGAGTTATTTCACTTTGAAGACCATGAAAAAAACACTCTTTGCCATAAAAGTGAAATTATTGAACCTACACACTGGAGCCTAATAAAAAACATCATTTTTAAAGGAAATTTCAGACGGCATGTACAGGATTGTGCATCTAAACTCCATATATATATATTAAATATATATTATATATATATATACTAATAAATATTACAATACAATATAGTTTTTATATATATTTTATATAAAATACTATAATATACACTCACCGGCCACTGTATTAGGTACACCTATTAGTACCAGGTTGGACCACTTTTGCCTTCAGAACTGCCTTAATCCTTCGTATCATAGATTCAACAAGCTACTGGAAATATTCCTCAGAGATTTTGCTCCATATTGGCATGATAGCATCACGCAGTTGCTGCAGATTTGTCGGCTGCACGTCCATGATGCCAATCTCTCGTTCCACCACATCCCAAAGCTGCTCTATTGGATTCAGCTCTGGTGGCTGTGGAGGCCATATGAGTACAGTGGGTCAGTTGGTGTTCCTGTGTGGAGTTTGCATGTTCTCCCCATGTTGGCGTGGGTTTCCTCCGAGTGCTCTGGTTTCCCCATAGTCCAAAACATGCGCTATAGGGGAATCGGGTCAAATAAATTGTGTGTGTATGGGTGTTTCCCAGTACTAGGTTGCGGCTGTAAAGGCATCATAATAGTTGGTGGTTCATTCCGCTGTGGTGACCCCTGATAAATAAAGTAACTAAGCTGAAGGGAAATGAACGAATGTAGTATTTCTTCATGTGTGCTGTAATATGATGTTTTGTTCAGCAGGGGTCGCTGTTAGATCATAAAACCGAGACAGAATTCACTTCACTGTCTGATTTATTGTTGAGAATACACTACATTTAAAGAATTACATAAAAACCTTGGAAAAAAACAACATTGTGAAGGTCTTAAACACTTTGAGATAGAAAAATCATGTATATCATTGCTTGATTGCCTATTTTCTTCACTAATATTGAGTTGGACTTATTTACATTAGCTGATCCGTTGTTAAAATTCTAAAAATGGCACATCATCGGTACAAATTATCCAACAAAATATTCATTTCAGGCTATATAATGCTCTTTCGGATGATATAAAAACACAAAAACAACAAATTGACGACAGAAAAACCACACGAGAACAAGTGCAAAAGGCATAGTACTCTTCAGTATATACAGCACGATATCATAATAATCCACAGTACGCATAGTTCCATGACAATAACACAGAGTTGTTAAATTCTGGCACATTTTGAACACTTAAAGCAACTAATTTCTAGTTTAAAGCTTATCCAAAGTACATGACGATATTAAATTGAAAGGCATTTAACGAAACATCAGTAATATATATATATATATATACGCAAACTACCGTCTGTAAGTGCCATATGATAGTCTTCATATGTACATTACATTACATACATTCATCTTTCATGGGGGGTTGTGTTTGATGACTTGATGACAGATGTGCATAAACTTTCCATAAACAGTGCGTTGAAACATTTAATATGCGATGATCAGTTCAGCTTTGGATTTTAGAGTATTATGGGATGTTTTTTGATGCACATTAAACTTTAAAAAGACACAACAGAGAATGCATTGAAGTAGGAAGTTAATATAAAGATGACAAATGCATGCTAGAAGCATCACAAGCAGTGTTTAAATGAGAAAACAAGACAGATCAATTAAATTACAGCAATACAATGTGTACAAGTCAATCAATTACAGAACATTTTCATTATGGAAGCTTGTTTTGGTCATGACATATAGGGCTACTGTATATGCAAAGCTAGTGTTTTGTTCCCTTACACTGTAAAAGATTTGACCTTAATCTCACAGTAAATTACTGGATAATAATTGCATTACTTTCACAGTAAAATACTGTATTTGATTTGTGGTTTACAGTAGTTTATTTAGATTTTGGTACATTAAAAGTGAAATCACAGCCATATTGTGTACCTTCAGAGTAGTAAAGTCCATTACTGTGATTTAACAGTATTATCTTGTAGAATTAACTATATTTGACTGTGAAGCAGGCTTTCCTCGGCTACTCATTCTGACATTTACCCTGACTTTGAAATCACTGTGGGTGTTTAACAGCGTTTGTTTTTATGAATCAATTACTTTTATTCCAGTTTCAAGAGTTCACACTTAGCTGATGATCTGTCAAAAGCTTGTTTGGCATGCTGTCCCGGGAGAGAGCCCCGAGCTCAAGGGATCCTCGAGCCCGGGGCTTCCTCCTGTTGGCAGAGCGAGAGGGGAGCCTGAGCTCGGTGGATCTCAGAACTCCCCGGCTGCGGTAGCTAAGGGAACACATGAGAAAAGGGGCTAGACATGTGCTTGATTGTTATGCATGTTGTATATCTTTGGATGTTGGGAGGAAACTGGAGAACCCGGGGAAAACCCACGCGGACACGGGGAGAATATACAAACTCCTCACTGAAACGCCTACCGGCCTGGCAGGACCACAATCGGCAGTGTTCTTGCTGTGGGGCTCACAGTGCTAACCACTGGGCCGCCGTGCCGCCCAATCAAATGTCAAGGAGCAGAATAGGGGAGGAAGGGGGGTTTCTTCCAAACGAAGATAAAATGGACTGGAAACTGTGGTTATTTATAGTAGCGTAGGGCTCATATGATTGGAAGATGGTGATTAGCAAATGCGAGACCGGCCGTGATAAATCATAAACACGTGATCCTCTCGAAATTAGTTTATGAATAAACTTCACTTATTGTGTTTTTAAGCACAAAGTTATGTTCATTAAATGATCTCATATTTCCATATTAACCTTATAAAACTAAATTTAGGTGCAGTGCACCCAAAAACAAAACAAAACAGGATGATTTTCTTTCAAGCTATTTTTGAAGACGTACGCCGAGGGTGTCCAAACTACGGCCCGCGGGCCATCCGCGCCCGCAATCAGTATTATTTAATCAGTATTAATTAATATTAGCATATTATTTTTCAAAACAGGACAATATTTTTTGCTTGTCTAGAAAATTTTTCTTGATTTGAGAATTTTTACATATTTGGACTCGAAACGAGAAAAAAAATCTAAGTAAGAAAAGCATGATATATATATATATATACACACACACACACACACACACACACACACACACACACACACACACACACATATATATATATATATATATATATATATATACATACATATATATACATATA